AAGAAGAAGAAGAAGAAAAACGTCGTTCGAAATGTCTTAGAATGATTTTGCAATTCTTTACTGGCCTGGAAGAAAAAAAAAAAAAAGAAAATAATACTCGCGGGAATACGAGAGCACAAGCTCGATAAAAGTTGATATTTCGACTCAAAGAACGACGATCCGACGTGTGACGTGGTCCCCGTGCGTTTGAAATCTTTTCGCGAAAACAGGAAATTTTTTGCGTAACTAATTCTTGTACCTTGCATGCGTGCACGCGATTTGATTGCTCGTTAACGGTCAGCACGGCAGAGGGGAGCATCCCCAATGACCGGAGGATGTGCGGGAAGTGGCGCGGGAACCGCATTAAGAATTACTTTGCGGGTCACATCTTTTTTCTTTCTTTCTTTTTTTTTTTTCTTTTTTCTTTTCTTTACGAATCGAACCACCTTCGACTTCGTGGAGCACGTTGAAACATCTACTTTACAATATATAAATAAAATACAAGAACTGAAAAAAGAAAAACAGATGAGCGTAAAATAGCAAATACACACAAATACAGTATAACATTTAAAAAGAATCGACATGACGAGCATGCATACGCGTAATTCTACTAAATTCTTCGTCTTTCAACTGTACATAAAATGAAAAAGTTCATATAAATGATAAGTGATTTATTAACAACTTGATGGTTGTTTCATTTGATGAATATAATACAAATATACCGTTATATTTATATATGCAAATGAAAATGTATTTGTTATATACAGAGAAGTGGCTTCACTCGTTGCTTCGTGTTCAAAATTGAAATGTAACAGGTGATGGTTGAATTTTCTATTCTGAAAGTATTTGTGTTTTAGGTTGGTATTAGTTTCTGTTATGAAATTTGGCAACCTTGGCGGAGATTTCTGTCATATCGTGTGAATGAGATTACGTTCCCTAACCTAGTAGAATATATTTTTGAGAAGTTAAGAAACAATCTACAATTTAAGTTGTAATAAGTGATTAACGGAATAATCTTTCTTATCATAATGGCTGAAGCGATGCGACAAACCGTGGCTGGAATGTTAAAAGGCATTGAAAGGTGCATTATTCGTTATTCGAAAGTATAGTTTAATTCATTCTTCTATGCGTGGTTTATTTTGATGATACAGAATAATACTTTTAAAAATTTAATATATTTTTTTCAAAGTTTGATTATTTAATTTAATTATTTTATTTTGCCATCAAATTTTATTCATATTATTGTGAAGAGTACATTACAATCATACGTATCAAATATGCATGGCAAATGATATGATATTGGTACATATCTTTTTTAATTAAACACAAAAATTTCAGATATAATCCAGACCATTTAGCAACTCTAGAAAAATATGTTGAAATACAATCAAGAGAAAATGCATATGACTTGGAAGCTAATTTAGCAGTCTTGAAACTATACCAATTAAATCCACATAGATTTAACATGGATATTACTTGTCAAATATTGTTGAAAGCTCTAACAAATCTTCCTCATACCGATTTCGTACTTTGTAAATGCCTTCTCAGCGAACGAATTGTAAGTTACCAACTTGGTTGTCATGTTTTTATCAAAAATATATTTAATATTAATATATTTTTATTTTTGTGATTATAATATTAATCAAGCACAATCTTAATTAAACACATAATATATATAATAAAACATTATTTCATACAAAATATATGTAATTTCTCATTTACATTTTTTACATGAATATTTTGCTGATTATCTACTTTTTATAATTAATGCATAAGTTAATTAATAAATATACAATTTTTACAGATGCAAGAAAGTCCTATTAATCAAATCATGTATTTGGGAGACATTCTAGAACAATGTAACTTCCAACATTTCTGGGATAGAGTTCTTTCTATGTCCGATCTTTGTGACAGAATTGTAGGATTTCAAGATTCCATAAGAAAATTTGTTTGCCATGTAGTAGGAATTACATTTCAAACAATAGATAAGAATCTTTTAGCACAACTTCTTGGAGGTGTTGATGGTAAAGTTACATTCTATATACTTTCAATATTTTAGAAAAGAATTACAAAAATATTTACAAAACAATATTCTGTTAAAAAATAGTATATCAGATAAAATAATTATTTTAAATAACATAAATCCATTGAGATAACTTAACATGAATTTATAAACTAAACACATTGAATTAAATATGTTTTACTTATCAGTATTATATAATATTTATATAAATTTGAGAATTTGCTTTTTTAAGTACAAATTATTAGACTACTTTAAAACATTGCATAAATACAAATTTATTAATGAAACAATTTATTTCAGATACCACATTAAAACATTGGGTAAAAAAATATGGATGGAAAGAAGAAAGTAAATCAATTATTTTTATTGCTAATCAGGATGAAAATATTAAAACAAAAAATATTACAGAAAAAATAGACTTCGAAAATGTCGCTGGCTTAATGGCTGCTTGTCTTTAAAAAATGATATCTTCAATAAATTTTTTTGAATAAAAATAATACTTTTTTATATATACTAATTTCATATAAACATGAAAAAGATATACATTTTGCACAATCTAAATACAAAGAAGTTTTATTAATATTTTCAAAAAATTGAAGACTAGTATTGAATTTTGTAAATACTGGAATATTTCATAAAATATATGCATTCACAAAATTTTTATGAAAGATATACTGACAAATCTGATTATATGCGCAATCCTGCAAGCTTTACTAAGATTTTGTTAAATATTCATTTATTAATATTACATTCAATATATTTAATAATACTTGAGTATTAAATTTGCAAGTATATTTAGAATTAATTATGCAGTATTATGGAATGACTCATAAGCAAATATTAAAAAATATATTAATTTAATTATTTATCTTAAAATATACTTGGATATAATCTACTAAGAATTAAACAACAATTCAAAAGTAATATAAAATTTGTAAAATAAAAATTTAAAATGTCTTCCTTTCTATATTCCTTTTTTTTTTTATATTTGTTACTTAATAAGATTTTAAGAGTTTAAAAAGATCATAAGATCATTTAAAAAAGAATTTTACTAAAAAATAAAAAAAAGTAAATTTAAATAAGAGAATAAAAAGTTTTTAATAGCACCTAAGTATTTTAAGTAAACTATTATAATATACGAGAGTCTTTCCTTTTCATTTTCCAAATTTTATAACATATAATATCTCATTTTTTCCAAAAAAATTGCATTTAAATAATGGAAACCTTTTTGAAACATATAAAAAAATATTTATGGCAAGCCATAAGAAAGCATTTGTATCTCAATATGCGATTAAGTATTTATCTAAACTTCATGATCTATCAGGTACGCATCTTTTCGGAAAGTATAACGCGGCGGGTTTTGGCAAGGGAACATCCATAGAATTGGATGACTCTTACCACAAACCTGAGAAAGTAAAACCAGAGTACGTGAACTGTTTCTTTTATAATGATGATTATTCTGCATATATTCCATTATATTTTCTTCTCCCAGGATACCTTGAAATTGGTCTACGAGCATTGCGATGACAAACATGCCAAACAGTGCTGATTCCAATACCAATATAACACAGTGTAAGCTGCAGAAAAAACTTTTTGATTAATTTCATTTTTTTTCTGACAACATATTCCTGCCTATATATTAAATAACCTTTAGATTTAAGCAAACTTTATATGCAAATTTAAATATCATATAAGAAAAAATTATTGATTGTTTAATCTTCTTTCAGAATGGTTTCTATCTATTAATAAAACTTTGGTATAAAATGAAATCTAACTGGAATTAAAATTATTATTTTAAATAAAAAATAAATACTTGAAGTACACATACATGCGACTCTGTTTGACAGCTATATCGTTACTGCACCGAGAACATTCTAAAATCCATGAAGTTACCACCAAGCCTAGTGCATAGAAGGCCAATATTCCAACATAGACCAGAAATTGAATAAAGTACTTTTGATTTTGTTCTCCAACACAGTTGTTTATCCTTTGAGTAATATTATAAATTATGTTCAATGTTAAAAAAGAATATCGTTAAAGTACATAAATCAAAAATTTGTTATTTTTAGCATATTAATGAATATTTGATAAAAAAATATTTACTAAAAATTATAATATGAAATGAAAATTTATTTAATATTATCATAATAAAAGTATAACAAGTAATAAATTCAAAAATTAAAGAATAGAAGAATATAATTAAAGATAGATAAATGAAAATCCATTATTAATTTAGTTATAAATTACATAATTTTTAAGAAAATTTAATGTCTCCTCTAAAGCTCTAAAGCTATAAACACTCTTGATATTTCTATAAATTATAGCATACCATGGACAATGATGATCCATTCTCCTAACACATCGTTTACAAATTCTACAATGACATGCTTTAGGAGGTCTATATGTTTCGCATCTAGTACAAACAGTCCAACTGTCTCTTTCATCACATTCAATTTTTGTTTCTGGATTATCTGTATGAATGTCAGAAAAGTCCATACGACTTTGAAGTAGTGGCACAACACCAGGATCACTGCAGACTGCTTTCAAATGTGACATTATCAATAATAATACAATAGTGTTGAAAGCCACAACATGAAAGGCACCCCACAAACTGTACATAATAATATACAAAATAAGATTAATCACAAATTTAAATAGTAAATAGTTATTGCAAGTGCATTTCTTGAAATTGTATTTGTAATTACAAGAGAAGTGCGATAATGTACTAAAATGAAAAAAAGAAAAAAACATCCCATTAACAATATTTTATTAAGTTAAATTAAAATATTAAGTGATGGAAATACACATATCCATATTGGTATAAAATTTATGCAAAATCAACTTCGTACAAATAAATATAAAAACTACGAATAAATAGGAGTTACAGATATAGAATATTATTAAATGCACCTGTCTTGCAAACTATGCAGGATAACCCAACGTACGACGACGTAATCTGCATAGAAGACAGCAACATACGTAATTATGATACACACGATCCCACAGGGGTCTTTTACAAACATTTTTATTTATTCCATACTATTTACTAGCAAATGTATCAGCTATCGTCACAAACTTAAAACGAGTTCATGTAATTTCGTTCTTCATTGAATTTATATTATACGAATTCAATTCAATTTCCGTTAATTCCATTTAAGTTTAAGTCTTTTTATTCTATAATTGCACTGAAACACCAAGTTGCTACGTATTTACAAGCAAATATTAACTCATTCCACTAAATAATATTAAAATGTTAACACAAATAGTAGATCTTCTGACCAATACTGATCACTATTGCCTAGCCTAAACTGACCGCCATGATATTGCTGTCATAAAATACCATGTGATGCCCCCTACTGTTCGAACGTGTTCTTCTTTCCTAATTAAAAATATATACCTTAGTTTCTTCATTAATACTGTAATTTTCAATGATCAAGTGTCGTTTATCAAATATGATGAACGCATAATTTAATAATTATGAAATTTCAATAATGAATACATTGTCTTTTTTTCGCATCTCCCTCCACATCTAAATCTTTGAACCAAAATATTAAATTTGCCTCTTGCACGATATTTTACGATATAAAGTACATTAACTTTGATAATGAAAAGTAGGCAACACGATAGCAATAGTATCAAATAATACAATAATTACTTTCAAGAAGTAATATTTTCTTTCTAAATGTGTTATTTGCTTTAATTAAATATTCCAAGTGGAAATATATATGAAAGTGGCATAAAATCGCTTTGTGTTAATATACAATAATGCATAATTAAACGAAAAC